AATGACGTTGTCGTCGTAACCGCTTCATCGTGGACTTATGCGTACGAGTGGATTGGTGTACTCTTTTTATGGTATACTTCTTGCCATTCTCTTGTAGATAGGACCCCATAAACCAAATGTTGGAATAATATCTCTTTTATATTGTCGTTTGGCTCTTTGGAATTTTTTGTAACCTTGGGCTACTTGTTTAAATCTTCTTTTTAGAATCGCGGCTTCAGCTGGAGTTGGAGTTAGACCTCTACCTCTTTGTTTCCTCTTCCTCCTACGAGTCTTCATGGTGACTAGTGAGGTTGATGATGTCAATCCTCGTTCTTTTATCGCTTTCCTCGACGCTTGAAAGCGGATTGATAGGGTATCCTACGTAATAGTCTTTCGATTGTTCCCCTGTTCTTATGTATATGTTTGTTCATCAAACCGAAGGGTCCAGCCAGAGCACCCAAACCCGATAATCTCATCACTCTCGCCAAATCACCACCTTTATGTGTCCTCCTCCTCCTCTTCCTCCTCGTGCTCGCATAGTAACGAGTGATGACGATTCAGACTGCCGTGGTTCTTTTTATGTCTTTTTTTTTCACATGATAGAGCATCGGAACTCTTCGCCCTTGTGTTCAAACTTTTCACCTCGTCTCATCCGTTCCAACATCCTTTTGGTATGTTTCGCTTCTTGTCTGGCTCTAAGGCTTCCGATGCCTTTGGTGATACTCCAAGCCGCCTTGGGTAAACCCGCCACCACACTGACAACACCTTCTCCCCTTTGGTACCGTCTTCTTTTGGTTTTAGTGATGGTTCTATGTCTTCTCGAAGACGCTTTCTTTCTCCTTGACCTCTTGGGCATGTTGGTTCTGAATGAAGACTCTTCCCGTGATGTCATTTTTTATAGTGGCACGTGATGAAATCGTATTTCGTAGTCTCGAACGTATCGGTCGTANTCTTTCTCCTTGACCTCTTGGGCATGTTGGTTCTGAATGAAGACTCTTCCCGTGATGTCATTTTTTATAGTGGCACGTGATGAAATCGTATTTCGTAGTCTCGAACGTATCGGTCGTACATGGGAGGTGTGAAATCCGTCACCACGTCGTCCAACGTTTGCATCTTGGTCAAAAACCCATCCAGTTCCTCCAATCCACCCAGAGCGTAGTTCCTAAGTTCTGTCAGCGTCTTTTCGTACGTCGTGTAAGCGAATTGGGCCATGTCCATCTTGAACGAATACTTCTTGAAATCGTTCCATCCTTTCAGTAAGGTGGCCAAAGCCGTCAATCCTACCACCGTGTACCCATCTTTCCACACGGATCTCAAGACGATACTCGCTGCCACAGCCAGTAAGGCCAGTCCGTTGAGAATGGCGTTACACAATTTGTAGTAACCCAACATCTGTCTTCGACACCACCAATACTTGTGGTAGAAAGCATACAGTCCGTCCAAACGTTTCAGGGAATCCCATTCCACTACGGTGGTGAAAGGTTCATCCAATAGACGTACCGGCGTGCTCATGACAATTCCTCAACCAGTTCCAAATGTATTCTAGCTTTCTTTCGTTACGTTCGATCTTTTTAGCTTGTTGCTCGTACTCCCAGATCTCGTCCTTGAAAGCGGTTTCTACGGATTGGTTCAGGATATCCTGGACTTGTCTGTAACTATNGACCGACGTACGCATGACTATCCTCTAACCAGTCCAAAATAGCTTCTAACTTTCTTTCGGTACGTTCGATTTTTTTAGCTTGTTGCTCGTATTCCCAGATCTCGTCCTTGAAAGTGGTTTCTACGGACTGGTTCAGGATATCCTGGACTTGTCTGTAACTATCGCACTCGTCCGCGATACGTTTCATGTCTTCGTGATCCATGCTGGTCTCATCCCAGTAAGAGCGAGAGCATCGGCATAGATGCAGGAAGTAGGGGAACCACTTGACTTCACTCCTCAACATCTTGCTTCAAATTGAGTAGTTTAGCCATACAATCGATCTTTTTATCGGCGAGGCCGTCGTTTTTTCTTACGTCTCAACAGTTTTCCGACCCCGTGACCAACGCCTACCCCTGCAGCACCCAATGAAGCAGCCGTTCCAGCTCGTATTCCTGTTTTCACAGCGCATTTACCCAAAGCTTTGACCAATCCAATCGCAGCCCCTTTACCGATGGGTGCTAACGTGGACAAGGCGCTCGCAAGAGCACCACCCCATTGCTTTCTCCTTTTCTGTCGACGACGTCTTCTCATGTTGTTCTCAGTTACGTACACTGGTCGAATTGCGAGTCACGGTAGGACGTTGTCCGTTTTTATAGGTGGTCGTGATCGTGTTGGTGGTCGTGATACCGGCAATGCGACGACCCGCGGCCGTTTGTTGTTGTTGTCGTAAAATCTCTTCCAGTTGTTGCTGCATCTGGGCTTGGTTGAGAATACGGGTTCCTCGCCTTCTTCTACCACCTCGAGAAATACCCGATCTCACCGACGAAGGAGGTATGGAGTCGCTACTACTTCCACCTCCGCCTCCGCCTCCGCCTCCGCCTCCTCCGCCTCCGCCTCCTCCGCCTCCTCCGCCTCTGCGTCGTCTTCTTCCACCGCCACTACCACTAGCGCTACTTCTTCTACGACTTCCGGCATCACTGGGTGACGATGGCGTGTTTTGACGTGGTACGCGTCTCGGTCGTTTACCTCCTCTAGTAGCTCTTGCCAAAGGTTTGTCATCTGTCGGTGTGGGAGAACGTCCTGCCATTCGACGCAACATACGTGACGTACCCACACCCATCGTGACGTTGGTGCGTGCTGCACCCGAGCCAGCGGTACCCACACCCGTCGTGACATTGGCGCGTGGCGTGCCCGAGCTAGCTGTGCGTACCCCTATCGAGGCCCCTGGCAGTGGCGGTGTGAAGACTGTGGTGAAGGTGTGTTCAGGCTTAGGCCCACACCCGCTGCCGCTGGAACTGGGGTACTCGTTTGAACCGGAGACCCCCACGGCGAATAATCGTCCAGAGCTTCAAAATTGAATTCGTCACTGCCAGAACTCATCTCTCTTCTCTCTTTCTATTTTCTTCTTAACGAGTACTTGTTGTGTATGAACCAAACTCTCGAAACCCTCACCATTATATGCATTCAGGATGGATCGTACTTGACGATAACTATCACATTCTGTGACTTGTCTCATCGGCTCGTAGTCCGTTTCATTGGGATTCATGATGTAATGGAGTCTGTTTTTACATAGGTGAATGAACAGCGGAAACCATTCGACTTCGCTCCTCAACATGACGATGCCGCAAACTGATGGCATCGTATGAATCCCTCGTCTTTTAACACGCGGCTGATGACACGTTGATCGTCCTGACTGGCTGGATGAAGATCCAATAGCATGTAACCGTAAGGTCGATCGGTGACCTTTCGAAAC